ATTGGAGCCCAATATCTTCTTCTTCTTCTTCTTCTAGGCCTGATTCCTTGCTTCCAAACTTGACCAATGCCTTCAATTAAGCTCCAAGCTCACTCAAGCACTCTCTCTCTCTCTCTCTCTCTCTCTCTCTCTCTCTCTCTCTCTCTCTCTCTCTCTCTCTCTCGAACTCCCCTTTGGTGTTTTGGGTTGAAACCCTAGAGAAAGCAGCTATTTCATCTCCAAAAACCAGCTCCCCTTTCTCCCTCCCCGCTGTTGTCTTTAAATTTGCCCGACAGAGCCCAGTTCATGGCCGAGGGCTTCAGTTCATGATCTTAGACCGTGAACTGACTTGAGGCCAGTAACTTGAAAAACCATTCTGGAAATTGGTCACTTCACGGTCTGGGATTTCAGTTCACAGTCATCTAAGACCGTGAACTGAAGCTCCAGCCCGTGAACAGTGCTCAGCCTCCACTTTTTGGCTCGTTTTGACCTCCGAATTACCCAAAACTCTTTTTGGACCTTCCCACACGTGCTAGGACTTGAAATGTACCAAGACAAGCACAACCTAGCGCAAAATAGGTCGAGGGACGGTGATCTACTAAGCAAAACGAACAAGAAATAAGAGGTAAAATGTGTACAATTGGACCCAAATCAAATCCACTCCTATATGAGGGGTTAAGGGGTGACATCTGCCCCAATGTCACCCCCTAGAGCTGCATTTCATGACTTAAGGGGTGACATCCTCTCCTAGGTCGTGAAATGGTTGAAAAAGATAGAAAATTTTCACCATGAAATGGAATGACCTTCAATGTCACGGCTTGGGAGTGACATAGTCCGTGACATTCCCCCACTTAACAAAATGACGAGTTTTGGATGTCACGACCTGGATATGAAGGCCATGACTGTGACATAAGCCGAGACATGTCCTCTCTCGTGAGTATAAGAGAATTTCTTCGATTCTGAAAGGAGAGAGGTGGGTTTGTGGATCCAAAACACTCAAGGGATAAACCCTAGAGGGGGATAGCAATCCAGAGCCGACATTGGAGCAAAATTGGAGGATTTGTTTGTCATTGAAACTCCAGCAACAAGCCTGGACATAGAGATTGAAGAACTAGAGCTGATTAATATTTGTCTCTCTTCTCTATGGAGTAACTTTCCTTCTCTTAGGTTTTGAGGAAATCTAGCTATTGTTTTGTTTGATTGGGTGATTGTTTGAAAACCTAGATTGTTGAACTCGAATTTAATATCCAAATCATGCATTTTTCATGACTTGTATGGATCCAAATCGCATTCCTATGACTACTATTTTGACCTAGGATAGATAATATCTAAATAGGTTAATAGAACATCGTCAATTGGAAGAGGTGAATCGATTACATGAAAGTGGATCCAATTACTACTTTGGACATGATTTTAATCTAGTAGAGAGAATCTAGTTTGTATTCTCTTGGTATTCTGCTTCAGTGAGGATAGTGTCCTGCTAGGTAGTCTAGTCAAGATGAACTTGTCATCTTTAATTTAGTAACAACAGTATAAACATTAAACGTGAGCTAGGGAATCAACAATCATTAATTTGGCTAGTTTCTAAGAAAATCAATATCTTAGTTAGTTCCCAACCTGTAATTGGATTCACCTTAACTGTAGTTAGCTAGAGTAGCGGTAGTTAGTTTATCTAAATTTGATTTGCTAAATAATAAATTAAAACTGAATAATAGTAAATATAAAGACCCATGGATTATATATTTTATTACTTGTACCACTATATTGTGATCATGTCATTGTTTCCCTTTCTATTTCTATTGTAAGAAGTGTAGTTTTAGTGAGACAACTACAATATGCAACAAGTCCACCTCAGACAATAGCAAAGTTATAATTATGTTGCAATGGGTTCAAGTATTGGTCAAATTTCCAGTCGATTTGAGTCCCTAAAGTAAAGAAGACTAGTTGGTTTTATTGCTTTCAATTGCAAGTTTTTTTTTCTCTTTATTTAATTGAATAATTTTTTGTTTCCTCTTTTTGATTAAACTGAGCTAAGAGCATCCACATTGGTATAGCACTTCCAATTGAAAGATGACATGATATAGGTGTTTGCAATTTTAATTTTAATTCCATTGATGTCGCTACCCATTTCATATTTGCAAGCTTGCAACAAATTCAATTCTATATGCTAGTCAAAATGGCCAAAAAAATTGGAACTTTTTAGTTTATTTATTTATTTTTATATAACTTAAATATAATATTTAATTACATATGTAATTGCAATGGATTGCATTGAGATAGATGCAATGACATTCATATGAGTTGGGTTGCAAAAATATTGATGTGGCAATAAAAACCTCATATGCAATTGATTTTGCAATTGCATTGATGTGGATACTTTAAGAGACAAGATATATCCGACAAGTTGGAAGAAAACCGGTTTAGTCCGTTGACTCGGTAAGTGGGTTGAGTGATAATGGTCCGAGTGCTTTAATCTGATTTAGTCTGGATATATGAAAAATTCATTATAGTGTACATACATTTATAACATAAATGGGTAAGGACGTATAACATTAATGCAAAATAACAATTTATACTTGGATTCAACGTATAGTGAAAATTCAAACACAAGTGTATCAATATTTAAATGTTCAACTTAGAATTTCAAAAATAGAATTTGGCGAAGGGAAAAGATAGAAAAGATGAACATTTCGGGGTACCGTGGAAGGCACCATATGTATACAATAAGAAAAATACCATTCTTCATCCTTACTCTATGCTATAAAGAAATGTTTGTCGGCCGACATACTCAAAATTTAATTGAAGGACAATCTTAGTCGCTCAACAAATACAATTAATTCTATGTTGTAGTACTCACCATGCTAATACATATGACCACATTAACACATCCATGAAAACTATGACCTATTTTATGTTTTTTCTTTACTATGGTCCGTTCATATTAAACCGAGTAACTCTAAATGATATATATGACTAACTACTCTATAAGAAAAAAGAATTAAATACATGAAATCAACTACAAAATTGGTGTTCAAAAATTGTATTATTTTAAGTTCGTTCACGGAGTTTCAGAAAAATAAATCTTCATTGAGAAATAATTTGTAACAGATGAAGATGTTTATAAAAACTAAAATGTCATTTGACGATTATGTTGCAGCACAATTAAAGAAGTTTACAACACCAAATGAATTGATGCTGAGCAAAATAATCATAATCGTCGAACGACTTTCTAAAGTTCACGAAATAAACAAATGAATTGATTAGCCAAAATCTAAAATGTCCTTAAGTATCTATTTGTAATCCGTTTGAATAGAGCATATAATATTAGAACTCATAAGAGGGTTCCAAGGAAGATGAAATTGAAGAATCATTTGAAGAGAATATATAACATGTCATACATGACATAAATTGTTTCAACCTCTAATACTTAGTAAAGGGGTACAAGAAAATTTTTAATAATGAATTATTGTATTTTAGGCATTCAAAAAATAAATCTTTTGTTAGGCAATAAAAAATACTAAACACATTTACTTCATAGTGCATTTGTTGAGATCAATGCTTACTGCTCAGCAATTAAAAAAATCATAGTTTCCTTTCCAAGTATTCATTTCTATTGTTCTCTTTTTTTTCATGTTTGATTTTCTTTAAAATGTACCACATCAGTATTCTTATATCTTTCTTGATTTTTAAAAAATTTGAAAGAGGAAATGGGATTTGTTACATTCAACTTACATAAATTTTTATCAATTAAAATTTTTGCATCGCTTCTGCTTATTCAAGAAAATAATCAATCTGGATCAATTTAAAAATAATTTATGTAGTTCTCTTTGTTTGTCATACTTGTTACATCCAACCAATAAAAATTAATGCCAATTTCAATATTAATTCCAATGATATTTGTGTTGCGATTTTAAGATCATTATTTACTATAAATTAGAAAAAAATTCTAAATTACGCATTAAAAGCCAATTAAAACAATCAAATATGAATATCAAAGTATCAAGCACCAAAAAATACTTATAGGAGACCTAGTGGGAGGACTAGCTAACCGTGATGACAAAGTCTTTTGCTTTTAATATTTTAACTTTGTGTATATTTTGTATTAAAAAAAGATACAACAAATTTATTTAGTGTAGTTGGTAATGCTTCTTATCTTTGTCTGAATACAATCTGGTTTGAATCTGGTTGATCTTGTTCATAATAATTAATTAAATTATCCCGAAGACAAGTGATTGATTCATTCTGTGCAGGTCATTGTCAGTAGTTTGCACATTTCAATAACTACCCAATCCTAGGCCAAGTTTAACCTAAAATGGGTTTGTCAAATAGTGGCAATCAAGGTTGTATTCACTCGGGTCCTAGTACCCTAGCCTACTTCCCACGTTGTTGTTTTTTAGCCGATCGGTTTAAGGGGTTGTGTTGGAGGATTCAAGTGTAATAACTAGTAGAGAGAATTAACAAGGATAAAAGCAAGTACTTCGGGAAACTATCCATCACTCTAGTCTAGGTCTATCATGCAATGTCTAAATAAGTTGGGTTAAGTGAATGTGGTGAGTGAGATCTTTTCCGTGGGCTTTCGTGATTATCCACAAGCCTCCAAGTACGCCTCCCCGAAACCCATGTCAGTCACCTCGATCTAGGCTACCGTATTTGGGGATTTAAGAACATAGCTCATTTCCATGGGTACTACCCACCGTCCACACCGAGGTTTCATCCCGGGTTCCATCTAGGAATGCATTCTCATGACAGGGGTACGGTCGCCTCGTCTACCGTAAGATCCTATTCATTCATCTAACCCTAATCTACCAGATGGCGCATACCCGTCTAACCCTAAAACTCCATACACAACATAGAAGCTCAAGTAGGCTAGTAGAGAAGATTATGGCGACTTACTCAAGCATAGTTAAAGCTAGAGAAGCATTAAAATCAACTAGATAAACACATTCATTCAAAACCCTAACATATTCAACTTTTACATAATAGTCCTTAAACAAGGGTTTGGGGTTTAGAACCCCTATTACCTTAATTAGAAGACTACTCCATAAAGGAGGGAAGAAGATACATAGAAGAAATTGGGGAAGACTCGATGTTGAGGAAGATGGCTCCTCTCTTCTAGCTTCTCCTTCTCCTCCTCCTTCCGCTCCTCTTCTCCTTCCTCCAGCTTCTCTCTCTTCTCTCTCTCTAAACCAGAAATTTTTTATCTAAAAACCAGTTCTCTTAAAATGGGGAAAGGGTCCTCTATTTATAGACTTCAGGGGGACGGACAAGTTCGCGTCTGAGCAAGGAAGATCGCGGGCGTGATCTTTTCCTCCGTGATCGCGATCTTCAGGTGTGGCTATTTTGGTCTTCGGCCGTTGGGAGTTCGCGGGCTGACTTCACGGTTACGATCCGTGATTCTCGGCCGCGAACTTCCTCGCGGCCAGGGGCGAAGCTAGCATTTAGTGCTCACGATTTCCATGCTAATAATTAAAATATTTAGGTTTAAAAATCTATTTTTATACTAATTTTGTTTTATTATAACCATATACAATATTTTTCACATTATATTTACTATAAATTAGAAAAAGAAAAAACAATATATTTCAAGAAGCAAAAGCGGTAATTAATTGATGTAAACTACAACTTAAAAAGGGAAATAAAAATTACAAAGTTAATGACTAAAGTATCTAATACCCGCTTACTATAAAAAAAAGAAGGAGAAGTTGTAGTTTCTGTAAACTACCATAAAAGTAATTAACCTAGGGAAAAGCTGTAAACTGCTTCCCTTAACCAAAAAAGAATTAACCTAGTGGAAAGCCGTAAACTGCTTCTCTTTGGCATCGAACCCAAGACCTTTGGGAGATAAAATGACTAATATTCTGCTGAGTTACAAGAAACTTTATGTCCTAAGTTTGCACGGTTTACATTTTATATAAAAATTGTAGTTTGTAAACACGATCCTGACTTATTTATACGTGACTTTCGAGATTCTCGGGGGCTGTAGCTCTGCCCCTACTCGCGGTTAAGAAAGACGGTGATTGTGATCAAACTGGCGAAACTTTCTGTTCTCCTCTCAGTTGGCTCTTCACAAAGTTCACGCCCAAGGCCTCCAGATTCGCGACCGGGAACTTGGGTTCTTAGGCCGCGATCTTTGCCTCTACTTTGTGGTCTGCTTTCTCAACCGTGATCTTCTCATTTAGGCCGTGATCATCAGCTTCCTGCCCATTTTGCTACACTTGTTTCGTTTTTCGTACCTAATTCACATATATCATCTAAAGAACCCTAAAATCACGACATAATCAAATAGGAACAAAATAGGGATGCAATCAATGATATTCTTCTGCTTATGCACATGGATTAGCACGAAACAAACCTAAATATGAAGGGCAAATAATACCAATTTGGGTGTTATCAACAATAATGCCCTTTCTGGTTTCACTCTCGTTACAGAAATTTGAAATAAAGAAAGTGAAGCTAAACTCTGCCCTATTATATAGGAGGAGGATTGAATTGATTGGTTACGCTGATAGATGTCTACTCTATCGCTAAAAATATGAAACCGTTGTTATATTCATTAATTTCACAAGTATCATCATAACACTTGGTGTGGAAAGTAGACCTATGAACTCGTTCTTTATTAAATTCCGTCCACGACTAAGTACGTTGCATAGCATAGTGAAAATATATATTTTTCCAAAAGAAATCGTGTTGAATGTAAAATATGATAAAAGAAACAGAGTGAGCATATAATGCAAAGGATGTTATAAAAATTAAGATAGATAAAAAAAATTATAGTGTTAGATCAAATCTATATTTAGATTGTCAACAATTTCTTTTAATAAAAAGAAGCTCTAACAATAGACTTCTGTTACACAATAATGAATCAGTCAAATACTTTGGATGGTTATCATAACAAAAAAGTAGGATAAGAGGTCATTATTGACTGCCAAGAAGGTGAGTATAAGTAGCATACACAACTCTTCATTACCAACACACAGTGAGTTCTCTCATAAAAGACTAAGGATATAGAAAAGTGAAATTGCAAAAGAAAAGAATTAGAGAAAGCATTTGATTGTCAATTATTTGTCATGGCCTTCAATCTTCAAATATTCGCTATTTGGGTTTTGATTGCGACCCTCATTGTGGCGACTGATCGTTGTAACGCTATTAGAGAAGTTCCAATTGAAAATTCAGGTGGTGTCGAAGTTCAATCCCTGAAGCAGTACGAGTTATGTTGTGAGAATGATCTGCCATGCTGCAAGTCGTCTTCGTTTTCGTATGAGAAGGTTCAAAATCCAAAATGGAAGTATGTGTTGTCAGCATATATCGTACGAAAGCAACATGATGTTGCGGCTGCTACTGCACAACAAAATCCAACTGACGGGCCAGAATTGATTGATTAAATCAAGACCTTTTATGTAAGGGAAAAAATAATCAGTGTCCATTATGGTAATAATAATATTGATGCTTCTAGTCTAGTAGTATGCCAAGAATAGTTAGTACTATTTCAATGGGATGAATTTGAATCTTTTGTAATTTTGTACTTCTCTTTCTACATCGTCTGCAATTGGAGTCATACTTTTAGTACATGTTCTATTTATGTGTTAGTGGCCAAAATTCTTTTTCATTCTATTGATAGAAATAAGAAGAAGAAAAAAAACATTTAGTTCTTTACATATACGATTTCCCTATTTATAGTTTGCTACGAATAAAGAAAGGGCAAGAAAGCTAAACCATTATTATAACTTATCCCTAAACTATTACACCACATACTTATAGTCCTTGAACTACTAACATGCCAAGAAGAATGATTAATTAAAAGCTACTTATCAACATAGTTAGTAAAAACTCCGTTTACTAAATGTATATGTACCTGTACATAGTTTATCCGTTTAAAATTTTCTTGTCCGTATTATTGTCAAGCCGTTTCATTTTTAAACGTGCATACAACAACACCTTGGCGATAGCATCCATTGTATGGATCTTTGAAGAAACATGAAGCACTTTGGTAACACTTGCAAGTATATGATCATGAGCGGTATAAAAATCTATCTTTGTATGTTTAGTGCACTTATCAGTGATACCTATCCTTCTTGCAAGCTAATAACATGCAAGTATGACTAAATATAACGCAAAGACCCGAGGAAGTCTCGAAATGGGGAAGAATGAATGGACGATGAACTGAAAAGGTCTAATGAAATGATAAAGCCAATTATATTTTGAAATGTGCTCTACGACGAGAATATTTTGCAAAGGTACGTAGCCATGTGAAAACCCACATAAGAAATTTAGGATATGTTATAGGTAGCATATGAAGGTACGCCTAAGTTTGAAGAATCTAGAGTTCATATGCTCATAAGAGAATTTGAGTTATTTACCATGCATGAAAATGAGATCATTGTGAAGATGCATGAAGCTCTTGTTAATGGTCTTGTGAATTTGGGCAAACTACACTGTAAATCAGACTTGGTAAATCTGTAACATTTTAGGCAAATTCCACATTGACAAATCACGATAGAGATACATGGTTCATAAGTAAGAAACCGACTTTAACTGGCAAGACACGTTTTGGGGTGAAATGGAGGAGTTCTTGTGAGAACTCTGAAGTTAAACGTGCTCAGTGTGGAGTACAACAAGGATGGATTACCTTATGGGAAGTCACCTTGAATTGCATCTCAAGTCGAAAATCGTGAGGGTCGAGGCCCAAAGCGGATAATATCTTCGTTGGCGAAAAGGTTGAGGATGTTACAAGTGATATCAGAGCCTCTCCGCGTCCCTCTTGAACGATGGTGGGGCAAACATGAACCAGGGCGTTGAGTCCCAAGGGGGTGTATGTAACACCTTAGGCGAATCACAAATCGATAAAGCACGAGAGAGATCCATGGTTCATAAGTAAGAAACCGACCTTATCTGGCAAGATGCGTTTTGGGTTAAATGGAGAAGTTCTTGTGAGAACTTCGAAGTTAAACGTGCTCAGTGTGGAGTACAACAAGGCTGGGTGACCTTATGGGAAATCACCTTGAATTGCACCCTAAGTTGAAAATTATTAGGGTCCAGGACCAAAACGGATAATATCTTCATCGGGAAAAGTTTCGGTATGTTATAAAATCACATCCTGAATACTTTGCAAATAAATTAGCGTCATTAGGTAACACCTATGGATGATTCTAAAGATTTGTCCAAAGTAGAGGTTAGTGAATTGATTGGACCATTAATGACTCATAAAGAGATACTTAGAAGTGAGAATAATGAACAACCTTACTAAGAAAGGATCTCTCCTCAAAGCCAACATAACTTATGACGACTTGGATGAAGATGAAATGGCCGAACAAATAGCTCTTTTTTATAATTCAAGAAGAAACCTCGAAACAATTTTGGAAGAAAAACAATTAAATTGGGAGTGAGCTAGATACAATAGAGAATACAAAGGGTTTTAATCGAAATCAATAGAAGAATGAGCTTGATAAGTGTCAAAACTCGACCAAAAAGGGTATTTTACTTGTCCCAGGTGCAGAAAGGCAGGTCACTTTCGTTGAAATTTCCTAAAAAGAAAATAAAACCAAAGAAAGAGCTTTGACTGTAACTTGGATTTCAAAACACTCATTTAATCTAAAAATAATAATGATAGTTATAATTCGTTAAAATATATCGAAACAACATAATAAGTATGAACACAGGTGTAAAACATGCGTTAGATGTACGCTAGCATTTGACACACACACACACACATAGACATAGTGCCTTCAATCGTACCTTGTGTAAAATCTAGGGCACCAAATAGCCTTGGTAAGAAAGCGCTATCTAAACCTCGAATGAATCAGATTTTGGGGGCATGATACTATATATATCACCATATCCATATATGGATGGTTCTATCGTTCATTAAGTGAAATCAAAGGTATGACATACCCTGAGTAAGAAAAGGATATCTAAACCTTTAAATGACCGGATTTTACTCAAGGTATGATACAATGCACTATATATATATATATGGCAAAGGCTAGCGTACGTCCGGGCGTACGCTAGCCTACCGTACGCCCCATTGAGTTTTGCTATTTAGACAAAAAATTAATCGGAGTTTGGGACATAATACTATACCCTAACCTCTAATGGGTGAATCCCAGTCCCCAATTCACTAACCCGAAGCACGAGATTCGTTTAATCTTAAAAATGAAAATCAACGATTCTGATTCGTCGAAATTTTCATTGGTTTTCATTTTAAGATTAAACGAACCTCATGGTTTGGGTTAGAAAATTAGGGACTGGGGTTCACCCATTAGAGGTTAGGGTATAGTATCATGTCCCAAACGCCGATTAATTCATGATCTATATAGCAAAACTCAATGGGGCGTATATATATATATATATATATATATATATATATATATATGTCCCAATTACCAGTATACTACTGAGGTATATCGTACTCCCAGTGATCTAACCTGTGGATGTACTTCATTGTACATTGACGAATCATACCCCAAACTCGATTTTTTTTTTCTTGACTTGATTTTCGGGTTGAATTTAGAGAACTCGGACTTGAGGTTTATCCATTCTAGGTCAGGGTATAATATCATACGTCAAACTCAGCTTAATTCTTTATTTAGATAGAGATATCTTAGTAAAATTACCTCATAATATACAATACTCCAGGAGAACACCAGTTTGACCCCCCTCCCCCCCAACACACACATATATTTTTTAGTCACTCACTTTATTGGTGCATTGAATGCACGCGCCTCATTATCGTCCTCCTGAGTAGGCGATTCATGTCAAAATTATGTCAATTGTCACTTGTATTATGATAAATAAGAAAACACATGAATTTTTGAAAAAATCATTCAAGATTTATTGTGATTTGAAATTTTAGAATTTAAAGATTTAGGGTTACAATATATAATAGGAATGGTTTTATCGTACACTAGACAAAAGCTAGTGTATGTCGTACACCAGCTTTTACCTTGTGTGTGCGTGCATGTGCGTGCGTGCGTGCATACGTGTGTGTGGCCTAGCTATGATCACTCTAGATTCGAGTTTGGAACCTATTGGGTCAGTTGGGGTACAATCTATTGGTTCTGTGAAGCTGCAACCGCGAGGTCTCTTGGTTCCATACTTTAAATATAATTTGTTGTTAGTGAGTCATCTAATACGGATTTTCCATTAGCATTGATATTCTTGGACGTCTTCGGTGTCATCCATGACTTAAGCTCAAGGCAGATGATTGGGATGGAGAGGTTCGGTTCGCTATGTCGCATGTTTTTCATAAGAATGTCATCATCCTGTTTTTGACAAATTGTCGATGTTGAGTTTATTTCATAGTAGTAGTCGGCTGATTCAGAGTCATTGTTCAGCTTGTTTGAGGACTAAACAATCTCGTACTCCTTTACCTTTATGTTCAATCAAGACTACTCGTGATTTTAGTTGATTCATGTAGACATTTGGGGTGGATATCATACAGCTTCCTTGAGTGGGGCATCTTATTTTTTTGACGATTGTTGATGATTACCATTGGGGTATTTGGATTTATATGTTATGCTTCAAGTCTGAGGTGTCACTACATGAAAATGTTTTGTCAACAGGTTGTTGAATTTTTTTTGGGTACGGTGACTCATATCCTAGCAAAAAATGGTCTGGAATTCCAAACACATGAGCTGCGTGATTACTATGAAGTTGAGAGCATCATGTTACATACCTCATGTGTTAATACCCTATAGTAAAATGGGGTTGTTGAGAGGAAGCATCGTCATTTATTATAGAGGCAGCGCGATCATATCGAACTGCATATGTAATGTTGGTTCAATCTTTGATCCTATAATATTTTTAAGGGTAAATACAATTTAAGGGTTAATTGCATGGTTGGTCACTGAGATTACAAAAAAGGTTCAAGTTTGGTCACTCAAAATATTTAAATCCATTGGTGGTACTTCAGTTTACTGAAACCGTTCACGTTTGGTCACTCTCCGTCCAACTCCGTTAACTTTTGCTGATGTGGCAGTCAACTCTCAAAGTTGACCGTTAACTTAGTGACGTGACAACTAAAAAATTATTAAAAAAAAAAAAATAAAATTTAATATTTTCCACCTCATTATTACATTCATTAAAAAATAAAAAACCTCATTATTCAAAAAATGATTAAAATATTATGAAATCAACTTGAATAAAAAAGCTGAGCCTAATTGGTTGGTACTATGGTGATTGGTTGTCTCATTCTTTTATCTTCATATAAAGATATTACATCCATCTGTCTCTTTGTCATCCATCTGTCTCTTTCTATGTATAACAATCTTCACGAATAGTTAGTCACTAATATCCTGAACTTCTTTCACTGGTAAAGCTCTCCCGTTTCTCCATCGTTTCCTCTCCCTCTTTCGGTTCCTCCCCACGCTCTCCTTCTTCTTCTCTTTTTTGCGGTTCATATTTCTCATCAGCAAATGGTTTCTGGGTGTTTTTCAGCGGAAAGAAGGAGAGGGATATGAGAGGAAGGGTGAACCTGTCGCTTCATAAAGTGATCGATAGTTTCTTACAAGACTTCAAGAGCTTGAAGGAACGAACATCATCATCGCCATCGTCATAGCACTCCCACCATCCATCCATCCTTCCATCTCCATATATCCTATGGAGAAGAGCTCGATGAGCAGCGGCAGCAGCAAGAGCAACATGGGTTCGGCCTCGGCGGCCATCAGCAGCTCCGATCTCATCGACGCCAAGCTCGAGGAGCACCAGCTCTGCGCCGGATCCAAGCACTGCCCCGGCTGCGGCCACAAGCTCGTCAAGCCGGTACATAGCTCGTCATTTTCTATTTCTATTTCCGGACAAGGGGTTAACAGTATGAATTTTATAGGGTAAGATCCAAGGTTCGACTAAAACAAAACTAAGCCAACTCCGATCGACGGAGGAGTTCACTTCAATTGAACGGAATAAGAACATCCCCGATGTTCTTGTGCCATGGATCCGCCAAATTCTCCAGCGGGCCGGCCCCTGGGTAGTGGGTACGCCTAGGGCTGACGGTTCGGGTCGGGTAACCGAACCCGAAACCCGTGAAAATCGAAAAACCGAAACCGCCCCCCTCACAAACCGAAACCGAACCCGAAATGATCTCCTGCGGGTTTCGGGTACTGGAACCCGAAATTGATGTTGGCGGGTTTGGTTCGGTTCGGGTGAAACCGAAACCGAACCGGCTTGAGTTTTTTTTTTTTTTTTGTGATTTGAATTTTACATTGTACAAAACAATTTTATTCTTATTATTTGTACATTCTTATTTTACCATTATGTTTAATTTTATGGGACATGGACAGTATAACTATAGACATACTATTAATTTTATGGGACATGGACAGTATAACTATAGACATACCATTATTATTAAAATATTAGTTAATTATTGAAATATTTAATTTTATGTATTCTATAACTATAGACATACTATTAACTATTAAATAGTATTAGTATTTTAGAGACAAAGTAGAATACTTAAACATATTTTATACGTAACTTAATCATATCTTATTTAATTGTGGATTTTCGTATAATTAAATGTTTTAGTAATAGCATAGGTCCAAAATTGAAGGTATATCAATTGTCTAATAGATCAACAGGCTGGTTCCTTCTTCAGACAGGACTCAGGAGCTAGTTAGCAAGGCAAACTGGCTAAGAACCTAACAGAGAATAACAGGGGAACATAAAACAAATTGATGCACAAACATAAAACAAATTGACCATTCCAATTGACCAGAAAGTAGCAACTGGGTAGAGAGTAGCAAATTGACCATTCCCTTTGGAGCAAAAGGGAACCCAGAAACAACAAATTGACCATTCCATACATCGGAGAAGAAAGTAACAAATTGACCAAACAATCCACAACCACCTAGTTACATCAAATCCTTCCGATGGTGCCTCAAAATCAAAATTCAGGAAAGAAAATCAACCCACAACCAAAACAACTCAACAGCAAGCAACCAGAAAGCAATCAAAGGCAGAAGCTTACTGGGATTCCATCTCTGTTTTGTACGGTGATTTAGGATGTGACCAAAGGCAGAAGATTCGAACCCAGAGGAGTTGCTTCTGGCTCTTCGTCGTCGATGGGTGGATCAGCGACGAGGAACACTGAATCTTTGTGTTACCCAGATGCGGCCGACGAGGAACAGAATAACAGGGGAAGGATTTGATGGCAGTCTGGCGGCGAGGCGACGGATTTGATGGCAGTCTGGCGGCCGGCGACGGATTTGATGGCAGTCTGGCGGCGAGGACGATGATGGCGGCGCGGCGAGGAGGCTCTGTTTCGTCTCGCTCTGTTTCGGCACGAGGTGGAATGGAACCAAGCGAAAGAGACAGCGACGACAGCAGGTGAAGGGCTGAAGGGCGGGTAGGGTTTCTACTTGCTATCAAAAAAGCAAAACGGCGGCGTGTGCTCACTGATGCTATCGGGTTTTGCGGGTTTTCGGTTTTGCGGGTTTTGGTAAACCGAAACCGCTGCAGTGTGTGTCGGGTTGAACCCGAAAAAACCGAAACCGGCACTGTAATATATCGGTTCGGGTTCGGGTTAAACCGAAAACCCGAAACCGAATTGACAGGCCTAGGTACGCCAACTGCTGCACGCAGAACCCGACGAACGCCAACAACGCCAGCCGGTCGTTCTTGATCTCCTTGAGCTTGTACTCCTCGAGCTTTTTCTGGTCTTTCGAGAACCCGAGCGGGTCGAACGCCCCGCCGGAGTACTTCCTCTTCTCCGGGTCCTTCTCCTTGCTCTGCTGGTGCTCCACGAACGCAATGGACAAGAACTCGATCACCAGTATCGTCGGTAGCGTCCCCCACGGCACCGGCTGCCCCAAGTAGCTCGCCTGACCGCCTGGCACCGCCGCCCACGACTGCACCTGCACCCAGTTCCTGATTGCCTACGTGGCGTTGCCCATCCTTACTTGTGGTCGCTGTCACTCATTGACCCATACTTAATAGAAATTAGGTTTTTTATTTTTTAATGAATGTAATAATGAGGTGGAAAATATAAAATATTATTATTTTTTATTTTTAATAATTTTTTAGTTGCCACGTCACTAAGTTAACGGTCAACTTTCAGAGTTGACTGCCACATCAGCAAAAGTTAACAGAGTAATCAAACTTGAACGTTTTTTGTAATCTTAGTGACCAACTATGCAATTAACCCTACAATTTAATATCCAAACTTTTCATTTTAAACAAAATAATAGCCAAACCTTTTCGAAAATAATCTAATATCCAAATCGTCAACTTTCCGTCCGTTTGACCGTTGGTTAACACTTCAAAAAAGCTTTGTTTAGGAGAAATTGTCACAATACAACTTTGTTTTCTTGTTTTGGCATTGCAGATGACTGAATATTTAGATATTCTATACCATCATGGTGGAGTCATGAACTTCTCGGGTTTGGAACCACGATATGTTGGTAGTTTTTCAGAGAAGATATCGATGGATATTGATGAAGCGTCGTACTTCGAACTTTTTTGAAGTGTCAACTAACGGTCAAACGAACGGAAAGTTGACGATTTGGATATTATATTGTTTTCGAAAAGGTTTGCCTATTATATTGTTTAAAATGAAAGATTTGGATATTAAATTATATTACCCTATTTTTAAATAATGAATTACGATTCTCATGAGTTTCGTTCGCAGATGACCGTGACACACCCCAACTTGTTGGCCACATTAAATTCCTTAAGATATTAGTTTTAGGTTTTACTTTACTTTACTTATTTATTTTAAATTTTCTCTTTCCTTCTCTTCCTTCCCATTCTTCTTCCAACAAAAAAACTTGTCTTTGTTAGGATGGCAACCTTGACCGGCCTGCCGGATACCCACCCAAAACTAGGGATGGCAACAAAACCCGAACCCACGGGTACCCACCCGACACAACCCGGTCAACGCGGGTAAAATCCGTGTTGACGGGTTTTGGGCCGGGTTTGGGTTTAAACCCGTTCACTATTCAACGGGTTGGGTTGGGTTTGGGTTTAGGTAAACCCGGCCCATGGGTACCCGCCCACCCATATAATTAGTTTTTTCGGTATATTTAATTTTCTAAGCAACTAATCTTATTTATGTTTGTGGAGACATGTCAAATTTTTTCTTTTTAATTGTGTAGAATGAAGTTGATGTTATGGAGTGGAGAGTAAAGAAACTTAATTGAAAGGAAGAAGCTTTCAATTAAACATGTTATTTATGGAAAATTTGTGATTTGCTTCAATTTTTTTGAGTTTTCTAGATTGGTGTTGAACAATTTGTATAGTTAATTTGTGATTTGCTTGAATTTTCTAGAATGGTGTTTTATATATGGATAATTTGTATTGAGAGATTGATATTTGACTTTAATTTTGATAAGAACTTGTAATTGTAAATTTCTTACGACAAAACCCGTGGGTACCCATGAACCCGCGGGTACCCAACGGGTTGGGTTGGGTTTGAGTTTTTCAAACCCATTGGATTTTACCCCGGGTTTTTTTCAAAGATAAACCCATGGGTTTGGATTTGGGTTTGGTAAAACCCGACCCAACCCGACCCATTGCCATCCCTACCCAAAACGCACCCCCCCCCCCCATGGTAAGCATTTTACCCGGATAAAGGGAGGATTCGGGCATACTCGAAATCTGTGAATAGCGAGCAATGGGTGGCGATGGATCTCGTGGTATCCAGCGATTTGCAGCTGACATGATGTCCATATCAGCATTTCGTCAGCGTAACTAACTCATTTCTAACGTCATTAAATTTTTTAATGAAAATGACCATATCTGTGATTTTTTTTTAAATTACTGTTATGGTCACAAACTATTTATTCTCCCCGTTATTTACTTCGCCTACTAATTACTGAACGCATCACAAGGTTAGGCTTTATTATAATTGGGGCTATCATAGATTTGCATTGGCAATTAAGACCCCAGGCATTGCCATTTAGCACTGCTAAGTGCTAACCAAACCGTTCTTTTCATTCATGGAGAGGAACCAAGTTCATCATAACTGGCCGTTGCCCTGATCACGGCGGCAACAAGAATGGTTGGGCTGAGCCTTGTGAAAGCTCTGAACAACCCATCAACACCAGGCAGCCCCTAGAAAGTCTATAGGGGGTGGCTCGACGTTCATTGCCAAGCTGGTTTCCCGCTTCGGGTTCAGATCCCATGACTAAGGGGTGCTTAGTTACTTGACTAAGCTCCTACCAGTTATTAGATCTGTACATACCAATCTGACTGTTAAAAAGTGGGAAGGGCTTTTTAATTAATGACAGGGGTAGTTTGTGTATTATGAAAAATTACGAAATATATAAACCAGATTTACAAACATTACAAACTGAAACCACAAAACATACAAACTAGACCGACAAACAATACAAACCATACAAAATGAAAAAACAACCGGGTTGACTTTGGAGGCCATATCCCTATATAGAGGGTTTCGTTCCAAAGTCAACCCGGTTGTTTTTTTTTTTTACATAAAAACATTACAAACATGGTGGGGGAAAATGACAAACTATACAAAATGGAAAAACACACAAAGTCAATCATATTGTTTTTTAGACATAAAAAAAAGTCAATCAGATTATTTTTTAGACATAAAAAGCTTTACAAACATGGGTAACAAAAATGACAAACATGGTGGACAAAGATAACAAATCTTACAAACTCTCTCTGTGGGAGAAGGGAGAATTCCTGAGAAAAAATGGCCATCCCATGGCCATGTTGTCGGAGAAATTTTTCCCACACCATCGGAGGTTGGGTCGAGCCTCTCCTGGGAAAACTGCCTAGACCGTCGGAGAAGGGAGCCGGTGCCAACTACCGCGGTGGTAGTTAGTGGTGGGCTGTATTTTTTATTTATTTAAATTGGTAAATAAAAATTAAATAATTATGTAATTATTATATTGTCTTTCATTAAATTGGATTAATGTGAGCCGTTTGATTTTAATGAGGTGGAAGGACTGAGATTCACTTAATCACCTGATGTTAGCCCTTCCAGTTTCACTCCACCAATTCATCTCAGCAGACGCCTTTGATCATTAGGACACATTACTGAAGCTCTCGCCTATAGCTCATGAAGTCACCCTGTGTTCTGGGTTACCTTACTGTACAGATCAACTGAAGCAAAGAGGTCAATGTCTCTGTGAACTCTTCCATGGTGTCCAATGTCATCAAATCTTCAGGGGAAAGGCGTAGCCTCAGGCATTTGACCTAAAAAACAGGTAGGGATGATCATTGACAATGAGTCCCCTCGTTGAATGACTTCTGAGGCAAATTGTTTTTATTTGACAATGGCTATTTCCTCCGATCCGCATTGGTTTCGCCTGCTACCGTTACATGTTTCTGACTACATATGAAAAGCTTTGATGAAAAGACATGGAAACTATCTCCTTATGTATCCTCCTGCTACTGCTCTTCCCAATTCTTTCTGTTGCACAATAAAGCTTCGATAGAAATGCATGCATCATCTACAGACTCATGTAAACACAACCTTAGGCAGACAAAAAAACAGCAGCACGCACCGCCACGAGACAAGCGTCCGAAACTTTCGTGAACAATTTCACATCCTTCCATGTGATTACAGAGACATAACAGGTTTGACATGTGAAAATTTCCAACCAACGGAAGTTCAGATCTTGCCCAACACTAACCCACAAACATCAAACGCGTAGAAGCTTCAACACAGAACAATGAGCAATACATACACAACCTTTACTTTTTTTACTTCGATCACAAAAAATTCCGATCGCAAATGTGCCTAGAATCCGTGAGCTATGATATAAACCATCGGGAACTTAAATGAATAAGACCAACTACATTGAAGACTATTATCTGCACCGTTTGATGCATCATACTAATCCGAAGAACTGTTCCAGTGATGAAGAGCTGAAAACGTTTCCAGGCGACCGTTCAAGTTTTGTTGGAGAGACATGGAGTTGATACTTGATAAACCTCTGCGTATCAGAGGGGGGAAATGAACACAGATTGTGAGCAAAAGAAGCATGCATAGCCAGAATTTACAATCAAATTCCTCGGTCCAAATATGAAAGTGGGAGTTGCAGGAGATTTACAGCTAATTGGGTAACAATTTCAGCACTGCTGTCAATATGCCAGTCTGGTTCTAGTTGGCGAACAAAAGATGTGCGTCCAGTTTCTGTGCTGCAAAAGAGGACCTGCAGGAGGGATGATGAACATTTTAATAGAAGTGAAAAATGAACAGAACAAAAGCAAAATGGATGAGCAAGAACAAACTAATCTCAATTGAAGCTTATAATGTAGCACAGCTAATGGTTTGCGCTGACTAAATCAACTGGAAATTAACTGTTTGGCTAACTCATAAACAGCCTCCAGCTTGGCGCACCCAGTAGATCAAACACAGCAGTATTCTACTTTTATCTAGCTGTTAAATTACTAAGAGATGCTACAACATAGCGCAAGGTTGGTCAAAAGGGCTTTCCTTTGTCAACCCAAATTATCATTAGTGCCACTAACTGCTAGAAATTCACTAAAGCTATGGATTTTTACTTTCAAGTTTCAACCATCAATGGTTGCCAGAGCTGGTCTCTGATGTCTCCAAAGCCAGTGGATTCCAATTGCACTATAATTTGCCAATTGTTAGGGCAGCCAACGGGAGTCAGTAACACACCAGTTTATGACTTTCAAAAGGTCAAACTGGGAACATTATTTACAATGGTACGAGAACCTAGGTAAATGTATCGTAAACTCAGCCAATAGAATTTATTTAATGGTTTCACAAGCTTTCTTAGGCAGGAGATATGGAAATGATTGGAGTAAAAATGATATGGACAAGAACGGTCATATAGAGCTCCTCCAATGAGAATAAATATTTTTCCTGTCAATTAAAGAGCTATTAATTACCTTGTCTTTGACCAAACCCCCAGAGGTGAAAACTCCCGCATTCTCTAAAGCAGCAAGTACTTTTTGCTGTAGCCAAAAAGTGAACAAGGAAATTTACTTCTCGAAGGTCAAACGCAAGAGGTAAAGTAGAAAACCAATAAATAATCAACTAGCTAATATAGGGATTAGCAAGTTGTAACTCGTATGATTTCCCCGACAGCATAGTCAGAAGAAGGAATCGACAAAATAAAAACGCAAGCCACACAAGTAACAAAATATTCAGCTTTGAAATATGAACATACTTCACTTTCATCATCAAGAACTCTTTCCATGAGATAAAGATCACAAAACTTGGTGATCTCAAACAAAACTTCTAGAACAGAGGATCTGATTGTTGCTTGTTTCTGTTGATAAAAAAATTAACCAAGTTATTACTTTTGAGCCAAAACAATGCGACAAAATAAAAGTAGAAATAAGTAAGAATTTGTGAACCTGGAGCTCTTCTGGTGTATTTTCTTCAAGGATTACTCCAAGCAAACGACAAGTGACCTACAAAGGAGGAAGATGAAGCATTATATCCTTAGGGCATGGCATTCTTGATGAAACAACAAGTTAACCCTATGCCCAATATACGACAGCCTTAACAATTCAGAAACCAGCAGAACTTAATGTTAAAGACCTCTAAACTTCAAGGAAGACATCACGCAAGTAAATATTTATGCAATATATTGGACCTCGTCAAGCAAAGTTCACCCCAATATCTTGTGATGTTGACAGGGAAAAGAAACAGCTAACCCTCTTCCTTCCGAAAGGAAAAGAAAATGAAAAAAGTACAATACTCCACTCTGCACCCCAACAGGCAATGAGCTATCCAGCTTCAAATTAAATAATGTCAAGAACATTACCTTTCTGCCTTCACTCAACTTTTGCCTCACTACTTGCCCCAAAGTTGGCTGAAATAAAGCCAAGAACAATAAGTATATGAGGTTCACTAATATTAAGAAAACCAATACAAAAAAAAAAACTAAAGTTGCCAGACTAAAAGAAAATTGTGCTCACTTTTACAGGCTGGAAGAACTCATCAACAACATTCTGGGCTCTCAAATTCTCTGAAGATGAACAAGCTCCAGAAGGCATTGATGCTACATTTGATTGTGTCCCTGCAGAAGAAGTGCTGGTTGTAGGAGTATGTCTTTTTGGTTGCCTTCTCTGGGGCACACTAGGCGACCTCAACAATCTCCAAGTGAAAACCACTGCAAGAGCAAGGCCTGCTATGGCCCCAGCAGACCGAGAATCCTGTTAATAAATGGAACATGGTGAGAAGTGACCATAGATTCTCCTTTCATCCCGGAATGGCCTAGTCCTCACCATCAAATCAGAAAAAAATTCAGGGCAAAATTTTGAAACTCGGAGGAATTGGGTAAGCAACTATCAAACTCTGGCGTAACCAAACCTTAATTGGGAAAGTTAATCGTTTTAATGGGGTTCTAGCTACCACACTTCTGCTGTAACCCTGCTTGTAAAGCATGTGTGCAACTCCATGAGTTAAGATTTCTACCCACGAATTTTATTTATTTGAAAGCCGCAGCTCGAAACCATTCAACTAACTAAGATATGATTCCCCAAAAGTGCTCGTCAATAGATTATTAATACTGCTTAAGTAAACTTGGCCAACCAACAGAAAACTGGCTCTAGAAGGAGGAACAGAGTTCCAAAATCATCACTTTCACAAGCTCGAATAGGGACCAATCGCAGAAAGTCCCACTTGACTTAGCACGGAGTAATCCGTGCATTTCATTCTTCAACAGAACCATAAGGGAACCAAATGATTGATTAGAACAAAAAATGGAAGCAAGCAAGCGGCCATCCAGTAACGAGGGAGTATTATCGAATCAGAGAAAGCACAAGCACTCATGATTCAGCAGCAAGATCAATGAAATTTCCTAACCCAGGAAAGGAAGAAACGATAAGAGAGCAAGGGAGTGGGTAAGAACCAGATTACGGAGTGAGATCGGGACGAAATTCGACATCTTAACGCTCAAATAAGCTCCAAACCGCTTGATCAGCTGCAAGAGCTCTTCCTTTGATGACTCCACCATCTCCAAGCTTTAATATTTTTATCCTTCAATCCCTATCTCCCCTAAAAACAAAATCTATGCTGACTACCAGCGCCCAGCAAATCGTAGGCACTACGGCTCTTCGCTAGAGCCAAAAAGTGTGATCAAAATCCTCACTGCTCCACCGATTCGTCAGAGAGATTAGGTTCTCCGGTCTTCCGCCATTGATTAATACAGTATCGAGACGAAAAGATGAAGGATGGGGAAAAGAAGCCTCCTCTGGTTTGCGTCAACAATCGATTGGGGAGAGAGACATTGATGCGTTTTTCCTTTATTATTTGTATAGTATTTTTATTTTTTTTCTTGATTGTTGGTCCAAAGTTTGAACCTTTAGAGTTTAGACAGTTACAATTTGGCAAAACACACTTCCAAAATCCAAACACAGGCCATAACTTTCACGTTTGTGACAAATATAGTCATAACTATCCAAAAACACAAAATAGTCACTTCTGTCCATCTTCTTAATGGTGTTACTCAACAATCTGACTGGACTGACAGAAATGCTGACCTGACGATATTTCTTCGGACACGTGGATTCACAAAACAAATACACATAACATAAATGCAAATTTTTATAATTTAATAATAATAAAAAATAAATAAAATAAATGCACTATTTCGTGCCCCCACTTCCCATCAACCCAACCCTAACCCTAAATTGAAGATGTCTTCTGGGTCTTTCCCCGCCGCCATCAACATTATCTTCATCCCTTCCTTTCTTCAAACACTTTTCAATGCTTTCTCTTCTTCAACACTTGCCCTAGGTCCCTCCTTTCTTTGATGGCCTGGACGACGATGGAAACTCGACATTGAGGCAACAGGAGCTGGCGGCGACTGGATACATAGGTGATACAATAGTGACGGCGGGATGAGGGCGCTCGGGAGGTTGGGGTCGTCGACTTCCCCTACTCGTCGATTCCAGCGACTTCCCGGCTTCCACTTCCAAATCGAGGGTGCCGAGTCTAGAAACTCAACGATTGACTCGCTCCTCCGTCTTCTCGGGGAGGACGGCAAGAACGTCGAGGATGGCCCGAGCGAGGAGTCGTCGCTCAGCGACGATTAGGAAAGGAGATGTTGGTTCTCTTGTTAGGGATGATGTGCGATTCGAAGGGGGGAAAGATATGGACAACGGAGGAGAGGGACTGTGGAGGTGAGTGTGGTCACTGAGGAAGCGGTCTCATAGAGGAGGAGAGCTCTAGCACCGGTGCCGATTTGGGGGGAAATTGGGGGAAATATTTTTTGTTTTTTAATTTTAAAAATAATTATTTTTTAACTCAAAATGATGTGGTAATATGATGTGGCACCTACTTGGCGATTGTGGTTGATTTATCGCTGACGTGTGCGATGATTTGGCATCCTAGTCACCCTAACAGTAACCTAACCGACGGAGTTTCTAACACCATTAAAGTTTCTAACGGATATGGCTAGATTTGTCACACGACCATCCAATTTCTTGGTTATTTTGTGTTTTCCGATAGTTATGGATATATTTGTCACAAACGTGAAAGTTATGGCTATACAAGTGTATTTTGCCTTACAATTTTAGCTTTAAAAGTTCCAAATTTTATGCGTCCTTTGCTAGGTGGATTTGAAAAATGAAGGTTTTGGTAAAATTTAATTTATATAAAATCATATATATATACCATTATTTGTTTCATAGATTTCATGATGTAATCGATTAATTAGATTTGATTGTATAAGTTAAATTTACCTTTATTGCCCTTATTGGTATGAGATGAGAAATGAAATAGGAGGGGTAGTTTGGTCTTAATCTTGTGTACCAAATGAATCGAGAATTCATTTCATTGTAAAATGAATTATCGTGTAGAATTCATTGTCAAATGAAATCTTGTGTTTGGTATGTCATATTCAAATCTTTAATAATAAAATGAATTGCAATGTAGAATTCATTGTCAAATGAATTCTTGTGTTTTGTATGTCATATTTATAAGTAATTTAGTTAATAAAAGAGAATAATTATGTTATTCTATAATAATTAGTAAATACTTGTGGAATTCATTTGGAAATTCCATCTCAATTCCTCGGATTTGCTATAACTAGTTCCAATTCCATAGAATTTAAAATTTAGAATTGAAAATGAATTATTTTAAATTCTAAATACAAAAATGTTTCATTTCCAAATGAATTCCTCAAAACTTATGGAATTCATTTATACCAAACGGTATGTAAATAATGGACTTCAAAGTTCATGATCAATTCCCACCTAAAGAGGTGGAACTTTCAAGTCTGTGTGGTCCACGGATTTGTACCCATAAAATTCTTGAGACCCACGGATTTGTTGCCCCTGAATACATGAAGTAAACAATGGATTTTGGACAAAGTTCATGATGGTTACAAATCCATGAACAAATCTATTACCAAATTCATCATGCAAACAACCCCTTAGAGCAAATAACAAATTATTTCATGTTTTTTGTTATTTTTCTCTAAATCTAGTGTCGAGAAGATTTTATGGTTAATAAAAAATTGCACTAAGCATGGGACTGCAACTTGCAAAACTCCTTCTCAAAGTAAAACTAGTGTACTGTGGCAGAAAAAGCCAGCATCCATTTACAATATATATATATATATGGTGTCTTCTACGGTACCCCGGGTGAAATCCGGGGTACCGCATACCTTGAGTATAAAAAAGCTATCTAGACCTCGAATTAGCAGGATTTTTGGGCATGATACTATACCCTAACCCTTAATGAGTGAACCCTAGGTCCTAATTATCTAAATCATAAACTATAAACCCTAAGATGGTGTATTCCCTTTTTTGCATATATTTGGACGAATCATAACCGTCGATTATTGTTTCTAATTAAATTGATCTTGGGGTATAAGATTTAGAGAATTAAGACCTAGATTTTGATCTTTATGGGTTAGAGTATAGTATAGTGTCCGAAAGATCAGTCAATTCAAGTTCTAGATAGCGTTTTCTTACTTAAGGTATGCGGTACCCCGGATTTTACCCGGGGTATCATAGAACTCCCCATATATATATATATATATATATGGGTCAGACTCGTGTGCTCCCGGAGCATACTATGCTCCATGTACTCATAATGAGATATCTCTATCGAGACCATCAATTAAACCGAGTTTGGGGTATAATACTATACCCTAACCTCAAATGGATAAACCCCGGGCCCCGATTTTCTAATCTCAAACTCAAAGTTCAATTTAAGAGAAAATAAGAGTTGACCGTTGAGATTGGCCGGAGCTAATCCAAGTAAACCTAAGGTCAGATCATCTGAAGCATACTATGCTCCTGGAGCATACCGGTCCTATACTATGCACTCTGCAACACTCTAACTTGTATACTATGCACTCTGCAACACTCTAACTTCAGGACCTTTGTTTAATTGGCAACAACCACTTTACTTCATTCTCTATCCTTCCAACTATCTGTCTTGGGGTACAAATATTAAGAGTAATCTAGGGGTTTTTTCCTATATTGAGAGGAAGGGATTTGTTTGGACTCGATTTTGGAATGGGCAAGATATGGTTGTAGGGCGTCGAGCTGATAACGTGATTACAAGCTAGGCTTGAAGATGAGTTTAGTGAGAGGAAGGGAGAGGGTGAGGGAGAGAGAGATTGAGAGTAGAGCGAGCGGTCTTCCTCTGTTTTGCAGGTCTCAGGCTCCATCGGTGGAAAGCGGCGGCGGTCAACATGACGGGTGTCGGAGGCAGATCAGTGTGGGAACCAAGGTTGTGTCTTGTCGCAAGGAATATTTGAAGGCCTCTTGGTGGTACAGACTTCAGGTTGAAGAAGGGGGAAAACGTTGGTTCATCAGGATGGATGAGGTTCTTATTTCCTGGCTTCAGGGGGTACTTCAAACTGCTGCAATGAAGGGTTGGAATTTCTCTTCGACCTGTGTCAAGAGAAGTGGCGACCGAACAATTCATGTTGGGAAGGGTTCCAATCGTCGGGGTCAATTTCTACAGATTTCAGTTCAACTCCGCCATGGGATTTTCTATACAGTCTTTATCCCCCCCTCGGCTTCAGGACACGGTTGGTCTGGGCTCATCAGACTCCTCCAAGACTTTTACTCGACCGAATTACAATCCCGGCTACAATCCTCGTTCGGGGTCAAGAAGCTCGGCAACCCTCCCCCCCCTCCTCCGATCGGGCAGACGAGTAAATCATATGCTGATGCTGTGAGGTTCAGCGGTTTTTATGCGGCGGGTAGGTGTACTATCAGAGATAGCAATGGAGAACGTTTCATAGAGGTTTGCGAAGAAGGTGTTCGTGAACGCAGTGAACTTTTGGGCAGAAGCCTGGTCTTAAATTTTGTTCCTCCCAACTCTGCTATTCCCTCGAGCATTTCGGTGCCTCTGTTTCGCCAGTGGATGAAGAGGTATTGGGCAGTAGATGATAACTTTTCTTTGGAGGATTGCTCGGATGGAAATTGGATGTTAATCTGTCCAAGTCTACAAGAAGCTATTCGTATTAAGGGGTTTAATAAGGCTCGCTTCCAGAATTTCCTTATCGATATCAAGCCTTGGCAGGAGAAGATGGTGGCTGCCTCATCCGATGATGTTTGGATCCTCGTCTACAATATCCCTCTGCATCTTAAGAGTGTAAATCTTATCAAGGAAGTTGGAAATTTTTGTGGCAAGTTAATTGAGATCGACTGGAATGCTTGGTTTCTCCCTTGCATTAGAATCAAAGTGAGACCTTTGGTCCCTCTTCCCAGGAAAATTCCAATTTCTCATGATGGCCGGCGATTTTGGATCAGTATTGTGTGCCCGCCGGCGTATGGAGTCGGCCACCAAAGCGTCGACGGGGATAATTATGAAGCGTGGAATTCGAAGAATCATGAGTCGGCGGCCGTCTCCATGTCTTCGGCCCCTACGTGCATGCGTGCGGATTTGGACCATTGGGGATCGGGCGGCGTTTCGGCTCCCTCTGCTTCTTGCAACGGCTTCTCCAGAGAAACGAATAGGGCTCAGCAACGAATTAAAAAGGTGTGGATTAGGAAGGCTGGTCCTATTTGGTTGAGTCCCCAATCTCGGGCCCCCGGGTCCTCTGTGCCTTCTGTAACACAAGCCTCTCCCGATCCCGGGCCTTTTACCTCTGCTCTGGCCCATGTAGAACCCGGCTCACTTGTCCCCTCTGTGTTCCCACCCGCCCCATTTCCTGGGCCTCCCGCTCTTGCTCAAGCCCATAATAAAACAGACTCTGGTAGAGCTTTTTTCCTTGTTTTGATTCGATTTTTTTCCCTCCCACCCAACCGACCTCCTAACCAGGCTTCTTTTACCCTCATCCTTACCAGTTCCTTGGATCTTTCTTCCTTCTCTAGCAGCCTTCCTTTCCTTTCCCCTTCGGCTGTCCCTCTTTCTCAGCTCCCCTCCTTTGACTCTCCTGTTACCCAGCGCGACGACCCTCCTTTTTCCTTTAGCCCAATCTCAAGCGATGATATTAGCCCTTCCACCCCTACTTCGAGCCCCGTCACTTCCTTTCCATCTGCAGTTAGCCCCACCCCCAGTTTTTGCCCTGAATCTCCCTTACCCTCACCCTCCTGTCTGTCGGACCCTGGGGACCGTGCCTGGGACTTAGAGAGCTACCCTTTCGATCTACAAACCTTGGTTGAGAGGAGCACTGAAATGGGTCAGCTATTTGATCTGGAACAAGCAGAAGGTCAGCTGGTTTATAACCAAATTATCTTCTCCAAAGCACAGCAAACTCATGAGAAAAGAGTCAGGAATACCCGATCAAAGCTGGATATGGAACTTCGCAGGCTCGGGCCGCTAGAGGCCCCTGTGAATGGCCCGAGAAGACGGAGGACAAGGACGGGGGAAGGATGCGACGATTCTTAATGGGATCCTCAGCCTTAATCTGGAATGTAAGGGGTCTGGGTGACCCGGATAAGCGGCTTCGCGTCAAGAACCTCATTAATCGCAGGAAGCCCAGTATTGTTGGTCTGGTTGAAACTAAACTTGATCAGTGCACGGACTTGATTATAAGGAATTTATTCGGTAGAAGTAGCTTCAATTGGATTTGTAAACCAGCAATTGGTAGTGCTGGGGGAATTCTTATTTCCTGGGATTCGTCTTTGTTCAGTATGCAATCAGATAAGGTTGGCAGTTTCTGTCTATGTGTGGAATTCCTGGAAATCTCTTCCTCTAAAGCTTGGCACTTGTTAGTCGTTTATGGTCCTCAGGAGCGTAGAGACAAGCTCTTGTTTCTTGAAGAGCTCAATGGTTTCTGCCAAGATGTTCAGGGCCCGATCTGTATTGCTGGCGACTTCAACTTAGTTAGAAATCATGAAGATTACATTGGAGTTAGACGCAGCCCGGATCTTATGGCTGATTTCAATATGTTCATCGACAGCAATGCTCTAATTGACCTTCCTCTAGGAGGGAGCAGGTTTACTAGAAGTGGTGGGTTTGGGTCTGGCTCTCTGTCTCGCATAGACCGCGTTCTGATTTCCTCCGATTTCGATGCTCTGTATTCTGATTGCTCGCTGTCTGCGCTCGAGAGGATTGACTCCGATCACAACCCGCTTCTTCTTAAATGGGGTGACTCTGGGAGAATTAAAAGGCCATGGCGGTTTGAAATCATGTGGCTGGAAGATGAAAGATTTTTCAGGGATCTTTCGGGTTGGTTGGATACTAATATCTCTTGCTCTGGTTTGATCTTTCGTTGGTCTAAGCGTCTGCAGGATCTGAAATCTAAACTCAAAGTGTGGAACCGGGAGACTTTTGGCAATATCAATACTAGGATTGAAGAGCTGCTTCGAGAAATAAACAATCTTGATGTTCTGGAAGAGAATGGAGATGTCTCCATTGAAGCTCAATGCCTTAGGAACAGCTATAAAATTGATCTCGAAAAGCTTCTTACTCTCCATGAGATCAGCTGGAGGCAAAAATCAAGAGAACTCTGGGTTAAGGTGGGTGAACGTAATTCGGGATTCTTTCATAGAGCTGCTAACTTCAGAAGGAAGTTGAACTTCATTAATTTGATCAATATTGATGGCAAACCAGTAGAAGGCAGGGATGAATTGGCTCAGGCGGTGGTGTCCCATTATCAGACTCTTTTCCTCGATCGTTTTCCCTCGCGTCCCTTCCCGAGAGTCCTTCTGGGTTACAAGCTATCCGATCTTGATAAGAATATCCTGACTCAATCTTTCACCGAAGCGGAGATTCTTGCTGCCCTGAAGGACAGCGATGGTGGCAAAGCCCCGGGTCCCGATGGATTTCCTATGGAGTTCTACATACGATGCTGGGATTTGCTTAAACCCGAAATCCTCAGCGCCTTTGGGGAATTCTATGAGTCTGGATACCTCCCTAAATGTGCTGCACATTCTTTTATCTGCTTGACCCCCAAGAGAGACACAATAGAGGATATCAAAGACTTGAGGCCGATAAGTCTTCTGGGCAGCATCAATAAGCTTCTCAGTAAGGTTCTAGCTCGCAGGTTGGGTCTGATTCTGCCCAAGGTGGTCTCTCAGTTTCAGCATGCTTCAGTCCGTGGTAGACAGATCTCGGAAGCTGGATTGATTGCTAATGAGCTGGTTGATAGTCGGAAGAAAAGCAGGAAACCTGGATTAATGTTCAAGCTTGATATTGAGAAAGCATTCGACAATGTAAACTGGAACTGTCTCTTTAAAGTTCTCTTGTCTTTGGATTTTCCGGTTAGATGGTTGAATTGGATAAAAGGTGTGATGTGCTCCCCCATGTACTCCATTCTGATTAATGGTGAAGCTAAAGGCTTCTTTTCCGCTCAAAAGGGATTAAGACAAGGCGACCCTCTTTCGCCTGGTCTTTTTGTGCTCATCATGGATATTCTGTCTTTCATGATCTCTCGGCTTCAGCAGGAAGGAAAAGTTAAAGGATTCTGTATGGATGAAGATCATGGGCTGGGTGAGGTCACGCACCTGTTATTTGCAGACGACTCTCTCATCTTCTGCGATGCCTCTCAAGATCAGGTTCTTAACATTTTGGCTACCCTAGTGTGTTTCCAGGCAGTCACGGGGCTGAAAATCAACTTGGATAAATCGGTTATGTACACAGTAGGGGATGTTCCGGAGCCAAGCTTCTTCGCTACCATTTTCGGATGTAAATGGAGTAGGGATCCTTCTATTTACCTCGGTTTTCCCTTGGGAGCTAAGCCGAATGGAGTTAAGATCTGGGAACCTCTTGAAGACAGTTATATGAAGAAACTTCACGGATGGAAGGGGCGCCATTTGTCTTTTGGGGCCCGGTTGGTTTTGATTAAATCGGTCCTTTCTAGCAAACCGGTCCATCTCTTCTCTCTGCTTAAAGCTCCCAAAGGTACCATCAACAGACTTGAACAAATCCAGAGGCAATTTTTATGGCAAGGGACGGGGGTCGATCTTAAGAGGCCCTTAGTAAGATGGGAGGTGTGTAAGGCCTCGAGGAGCAATGGTGGCCTCGGTATTATTGATCTGGCCAGCTTTAACAGTGCCTTGCTTTCCAAATGGGCCTGGAGTTTTTCCGCTGAACGTGCTGGGTGGTGGAAGAGTCTCATTTCTATTAAATACCCCAACTCCTTGTCCTCTTGGCTTCCTGGGCACATCCATGGCGGTTACTCGAAATCAGTGTGGTCCAACATATGCAGAGATTTTGATAAATTCTGGAAATTTGCTTGCTTAGATCCTGGTGGCGGATCGGATGTTTCCTTTTGGCACGACTATTGGTGTCCCGGTAACACTCTCGCCTCTAGATTCCCCCGTGTTGCTGCTGCCGCCTCACACCCTGCTGCCCGGATCTCAGAACTGTACCGCTGCTCAGGTGAGATTGTTGAGTGGTCTATTCCTTTAAATTTTTCTCTTCGGGGGGGTGCTGAGCGAGAGAGGAATGATCTCCTTAACTTCCTTAACTCTTCTGCTGCTAGTCGTGTCACTAATGGTCCCGGTAGACTGGTTTGGCTTCCAAATCCAGACTCTGGTTTCTCTGTGTCTTCTATGTACAGGGCTCTGGCAGATGATCTTTTTCCTGGTGTTGCAAACTACCCGGTCGTGTCTATCTGGAAGGCAATTATCCCGACCAAGGTGTGCTTCTTTCTATGGACTTTGTCGCATTCGAAGCTGCGCACGATCGACAAATTGAAGAGCTGGGGTCTTAACCTGGCAAACAGGTGTGATCTTTGCAAATGTCAAGAAGAGACCGCAGATCATCTATTCGTGGATTGCACTTTTGCCCGTGAAGTTTGGTTTGGCATTTCAAGAGCCTGCCCTCTTGTGGAGCCGCCGTCTGGAGACATCGTTACGGTTCTTCATTCTTGGCCTTCGAGGGTTCCGGATAATGTGAACTCGTGGTTTTCCTTTGCTGCGCTTCACTCTGTATGTTGGCACGTCTGGCGGGAGAGGAATCAACGCATTTTCAATGATTGCAGTAGCCCCGCCAGAGTTGTTTCCAGGAATGCGTGTAAAGCGGTAATAGAATGGATATCGGCTCATAGCAAGGTGGACAGGAATATCTGCTCTCAATGGCTTAATGAGAGGATTCAGTGGATCTGATTCCTCGGGCTTGTGGTGGCTCTGTCTTGTATGAATCGGGCCCCATGGTTTTCTTGAAGCTTGTCCACTGCTGTTCACTGCTTTATCCGTGGCGGGACATGCTTTTTCGGGTCTCTTAGGTTGCTGTCTTCTGCTGCTGGGGGTCGAGTTCCCTTGCTGTTCTTTCGGTGGATCTTGGCCAGGGATTCTTTGTTTGCTGTCTCTGTCTCCTCCCGGAATTTGGTTGCTAAGACGAGTTTCGTGGCAGATTTGGTGGTGCTTCCGTGGCTGTGCTCGCTCCAGTTTGTCTGGTTTTGTTTTAATTTTGACTTTGGTCTTTCCTTTCTTCTTTTTCGTTTTGATTTGGTGAAGTGGGAGCAGTCTGGTCTGCTTTGTTTGGTCGTCTCTTGTGCTCTGTGAGTTGCCTTCCCTTCTTGGCGCTCCTTTCAGGCCTTGTTGTTGCTGTTGTCTTTTTTTCTCTCTTTCGTTTCTTTTATCTGTTTGCATCGTTTGTGGCACTGTGAGATCAGGCCTTGTGATCTCCTTTGTCTGTACAGAATGTTTTTTTTCTTCTCTTTTAGCAATAAATTCTCATCACCTTTATCAAAAAAAATATTAAGAGTAATCTACCTTCTGCAGCTAACATAGCCTGACCTAACCATGACCTCCATAATCTTGATTGTGTTGTTCTCTCCAAATGTAGCATATATAGAGCGACCAAGAGTAATCTACCTTCTGCAGCTAACATAGCCTGACCTAACCATGACCTCATTGCCCAACCCAAGTGATCAGACCAAGTGGCAAAAGATGGAACTTGACAGAACCTCCTTAGAACATAAGACAACACACTGTAACTGTAATAGACAATGACAAATAAATGGTTTATTGATTTTTCTCCACCTGGACCAAGGAAACAAACATTTTCAAATCTCAATAGATGATCCCCAAGCTACCAGCTTGTCTTTTACTGTGATTTGATTCAAAATAACCAACCATAGTAGCAATCTATGTTTAGGGCTAAAAGGCTTCCCCACACAACATGAAACCAATCAACTGAAGGACTGGGGACACCAGTGGATTTCCAGACTGCTTTGACAGAAACCTTAGGGGTTGTTTGGATGAGGAATTCTAACGGATCAATTTGACCCAATTGTTTCGTTTTGAGACAATCTAGACAAATTGATTCGTTAGGCAACACAAAATTTAGATGAAGCAATTCTTCCTGGAAAATTTCAAATTGAATGGGGTGGGGGCAGACAATTTGAATTGACTCATTTTGTAAAATGTGACCATTGGCCAAATTGTCTCGTTTTTCAATTGTTCCAACCAACGACCCCTTAGGTAGAATTATTACATCCCAAGCCAGTTGAGATCCAATGCATAAGAGATGAGGCTGAAGACCCTCTCTGCACTTAAGTATTCTTTTCCATATCCAGATCCCTACTGACTGAACTGAAAGATCCTAGATTGCCTTCTGCTACAATTTATACTTCTTCACTCATGCAACCCATAATGATCCAACTTAAACTAACTGGTATCATATATGGCGAACTACACATGCCTGATTCCATAACTTGAACTCTCCGATTCCCCAATACCCCCTCGTCCTTTGGCAAAGTAGTTGTATTCAATGCCACCAAAGCTCTCTTCCTCTTGTTAGGAACCCCAACACCCCAAAGAAAACGATCACAAAGCATCGTAATTTCTTTTAGGACCTTTTGTGGCATAATAAAGAGAGTCATCCAATATTGCATAATACTGGTTATTACAGAAGATACCAATTGTAATTTTGTAATTTTCTAGCATAACTAAGAATACACGATACATGTCCACCGAGATCTTATTCTCTGTAATCTTCTATATCATAGCAGAATAGTCTTTTGAGGATAGTTTACTTGTAATGAGTGGGACTCCAAGATACCTTACCGCTAAGACCCCTAAATAAAACTATGAATAATTTGAAATCAACTGCTGCTCTTCTTCATATATACCAGAACAGAATAGCTGACACTTAGCTAAGTTACACCTAAGCCCTCATTAACTATAGAACTAGTCCAGAAGCCTTTTGATAACTGCAACTGTACTGATTGAGCCATTTGTAACAACTAAGAGAGCATCTCTAAAATAATATGTGTAATCTCTAAAACTATACAACGAAGGTGATAAGGTATTTTTTCATATGCCACAATCCTACTCATCAAACATGAGAAATACTCCAAACCCACATAAACCTCCATTGAAGGACACATTGAGCATAGGAGTAGTGGCATATGCTTCTATAAGTGTCAGAAAATCTTTTGGAAAACCCATTGCTATTAACATATTGAATAGAAACCGCCAATGAACTGATTCAAAGACCTTCATAAGATTGGTTTTAAGCACACATCTAGATGTAGTGTTGTTCCAGTGATAATCTTTAACTTATTCACTAGCCATCAAAATGTTATCACTATTTAGCCTTATTTTAACAAAGGAAGATTGCAACTTACTTATGACAGAGGAAAGAACAACTGCCAATCTATTGGATAAGATTTTTGAAATACCCTTCTATAACATATTGCAGAAGATATTGGCCTAAAATCCTTCATTTTATCCACATTGTCCACCAGTTCACCCACAATAGACCAATCAATTTTATAAAATCCAGCAGTGAACCCGTCCGGTCCAGGAACTTTGTCATTTGGCATATGTTTAAACACCTCCCTTATCTCCTCCCTAGTTATCGGAATTAACAGATTTTGAGCTTCAACAGGGTCCACCTTCAACCTCAACTTTTGACGAAAGTATGCAATCGACCGATCCTAAACATTATTATCAACTTTCCCTAGTAGAGCTTTAGAAAATCCTACAACCACTTCTCCCATCTCTGCAATTTTGATAACCACAGTACCATCCTCTCAAACTAACTTCATAACGGTTTGTCTAGGATTTCTGACTTTAACCACATTGTGAAAATAGGTTGTGTTTGTATCACCTTCCTGAATCCACCTGACTCTAGACGTCTGCCTATAAAAACTTTCCTCTACTACCACAAAGCTACAAGTTCTAGTTCTTGACTTATATTGTTCTTAGTAGGACAAGAGAACACCTCCTTTTGTTTTTTTTTTTCAACTGAAAACGCTGCCTCCATTGTCCTTGCATAAATATCTAAGTATTCAGTGTTGTTCAAAGCTTTCACTTTTTCTTTGAAAACCTTAAACCTCTTATAAAACTGCAGGTTAGGCAACCCCCTAGCTGATTCCCCCACGCTTCTTCTAAGAGTTTTGCATATTGAGGATGCCGCCTCCAATACTTGAAATACTTAAAAGGTTTTGGAAGGTACCAATCTTTGGATTAGAATCCAAAAACATCTCGCAATGATCTGAAACCCTCAGAGCAAGAGTTCTAGCAGCATTATTTGGAAATTTATCTAGCCACTCTTCATTAAAAATTATTTTGTCTATATGCTTATAACAATAGTGTTTCCAGCTTGTTTGTTCCACCATGTGTACCAAGATCCCGTCACTCTGTGATCTAACTATCTCATATCATTAATCCAATCTCTAAAATCCAAACTGCCCTAACTCATCACATTGGTATTTGGGGCTTCTGAGACATCGGCAATAGCATTAAAGTTACCCAGATATATCTCAGGCTCTCCCACAACCCTCCAAGGTAGCAACTCTGGGTAAAGCTATAAATGATCTTGAGCTTTGTTTTGGGACAAAGTGAGTGGTGGAAGCCGAGGAGCGAGTTTTGGGGCAAAGTGAGTCAAAAAAACATTGAAAGGAGATAATAGAGTGCACACAACCTAGGACACATTCGTGTTCCTCACCCGTGTTCATTTAGGACGTGGTCATGGTATCTAGGACATGTGTTCAATGTGTTCTTCAAGGAACACGAAAATCCAATGCGGCCATGCTCATATCCCAAGTCTAGTGCTCAGGAGCAGGAGTCAATTGACGTCTCGCGGGTAGTCGTAAGGGTCATAGTCTACAAGATCATGACATTAACCTAGAAACCGTGACGTCGACCTAAAATGGTGCGGATTGAAGAAGACTAAAGAACACGACCGTGTTCCTTAGCCTTGTTAGAGCTGCTTTAGCTTAACTTCAGCTGACAAATGATATGCAACACTTGGAGGTGAACACGACCTGGTGACACAGACTTGTTCGAAACCGTGTTCTGCCTGATTCTCCATACTATAAATCTGTAGCTGCTGGTTTTGGGGAGGAGATCTTGAGAAGTTAAGAGAGATATTAGAGAGAGTTGGGTTTTAACCCAAAAACATCCAAGGGGTTTTTTTAGGGAGAGAGAGTTATCTAGAGTACTCTTAGGACTGAATTGGAGGCTTGGATTGAGCTTAGAGCAAGGAAGATGAACAAGGAAGATCTCAAGCATTGTATTGTAAATTCTCTCCTCTCTATGAATTAGCTCTCCTTCACTTAGGTTGATGAACCCTAGGTTTAGATGTCTGTTTGATTGTTGATGTATGTGATAAACCCTATGAATGTGAACTAGTATTATCTATTGAATTGAGTATTTATCACGCGATTGATGGATCTTGATCTCATCCCTCAATTGGGGTCTTTTAGACCTACGAGGGAGAAAATCCCCCTAGGTTGAATAGAGTACTACCAATTCATCACCATGAATCTTTGAACGAGTGTGATATGATTCGTAGTGCCATATTGGGGTTTACCCAATCGTGGGAGTTGGTTGTGAACACCTCAATTGCCTAAGTTGGTTGTGTGGTACGCCCCTCCGAGTAGTGCAATTGAGCGAGCTTGGATTCACTCGATCAGGGTGTCGAACCTAGTATAGAATTCTCTACGGTGGAAGTGTCGAGTCAATCAATATAGGGTAGTACTAATTATTGGTCCAATTGATGATGGGCTAGGGGTATTTATGTCTAAGTTAGCTCCCAACATTATAATTAACTAGAGTAGTGGTTAGGTTAGTGGAGTTAGGTTAGTTTCTTAATCACTATTCTTGTTTGGCTAGATTGTTAACCTTAGTTGAAGTAATGGTACATCTACAGA